TTAAAGCAGACAAATATTAGCAAACTAATCACCAGAAAAAAGAAAGTGAAAAAGAAAAAAATGAAAAAAGCGAGAGAAAAAAAAAAATCGGTGGAGGACAGGGCAGGGCACCCAGGGTCCGTCTGAGTACACAGACTGTAATGGAGTTCCTGAGGGCCCAGAAAGTAGATGGGAGTGGGGGATGGCTGCACCTCTGTTCACTAAGTGGGTGTGGGGTATAAGAGTAATAAGAGGAATGTCGTACCTTTACAGTCTTGCAGGTCTGGAGGGTCCTTGGGGTTGCTGGAAAGCAGAACATGTTCTTAAGCCCTGGGAATTTGCAAGAGCACTGTCTCTTTAAATATCCAAAATAGTCAAGCTGCTTTTAGACCTTCAAAATGGCAGTGTCCTCCAGACCGGCAAAAGTCCACAGCTCAGCCCGCCTTTCTCTTCACCTTCTCCGTTTATTCCCCAGCCACCGGAGCAGTCCTCCGTGCAGTCCCTGGCTAGCAGGGTGATTTTTAGGTTAATTCTTAAGTCCTACCACCACTCAGGAATCTCCAAGCTGTCTGTGCTATCAGGATCACTGCCAGTCCACAGCTCCGTCTGTCTCCTTTTTTGGTATTTTCACGCAAATTCTTCTGCTAGTTGGGGTTTAGTCCACTTCTATATTCTTCCCTTCAAGGCTCAGGGGTCCAGGATTATCTTCTGTTTCTGTGTTAATTGGTTTCCCTTTTCTTTGTTGAAGCGGGTCTGTGCAGTCTTTCTGCTTAGTCTGCCATTTGCCGGAACTCAATACAACCCTTCTTGCTGAAAGTGAAGAAGACTTGAAACACTGATGAAGATCAAAGATTACAGCCTTCGGTATTGATGAACCTCAGCATAAAGAGAACAAAAATCCTTACAACTGGATCAATAAGCAACATCATGATAAATGGAGAAAAGATTAAAGTTGTCAAAGATTTCATTTTACTTGAATCCACAATCAACACTCATGGAAGCAGTAGTTGAGAAACCAGACATCATATTGCACTGGGCAGATCTGCTGGAAAAGACCTTGTTAAAGTGTTGAAGAGCAAAGATGTCACTTTGAAGACTAAGGTGTGCCTAATCCAAGCCATGATATTTTCAGTAGCCTCACAAGCATGTGAAAGCTGGACAATGAATAAGGAAGATGAAGAATCTCTGCCTTTGAATTATAACGTTGGCGAAGAATACTCAAAATACTGTACACTGCCAGAAGATTGAACAAATCTATCCTGGAAGAAGTACAACCAGAATGCTCCTTAGAAGCGAGAATGGCCAGACTTCATCTCACCTACTTTGGTCATGTTGTCAGAAGGGACTGTTCCCTGGAGAAGGACATATGCTTGGTAAAGTGGAGGGTCAGCAAAAACGGGGAAGACCCTCAATGGATGGATTGACACAGTGACTGCAAAGATGGGTTGACGCATAACAAGGATTGTGAGGATGGTGCAGGACAGGGCAGTGTTTCATTATGTTGTGTGTTGTGAGAATTGACTTGATGGAACCTAACAACAAAAACAACCAGAATGTTCCTTACACATGAAGATGGTGAGATTTTAGCTTGCTTACTTTGGCCATGTCATGAGCAAAGACCAATCACCAGAAAAGGATATCATGTTTGGTAAAGTAGAGGGTCGGTGAAAATCATGGACACCCTTATTAAGAAGGATTGACACAATGGCCACAACAATGGACTCAACACTCCAACAGTCATGCACATGGCACCAAACCAGGCAACATTTCATTCTGTTACACATAAGATCACCATGAGTTGGAGCTGAATTGACAGCAACTAACAACAGCAGCAGCTTCACTGTGAGATGCTAATAGAATATATCCATGTAAAATATAAAGCATTATCTCACAGTGAGGTATTGGCAATATTTTCACTATGAAAAGGTATCATAACAACCTTTATGGGATAGTAGGAAGATTGAATGAGGTAATTTGGTTGGATAGTACTTACATAGTATTATGTACACTAGAAATGTGCATGCGTGTTTTCCAATAAAAAAAGTCTGAAAAATTGAGACTTGACAACACTCAAGAGAGTCTCAAGTTGAAGGACCTAAAGAAATATTGTGAATTCTAAAATAAGAACTGGCTTGTTCTGAGTAACAAAATATAGAAATAAAAAAGTATCTGTAAAGTTAGCCAAATAAACTCCTGAACTTAGTGTGTGTGTGTGTGTGTAATGTACTCCATAGAGCTTAAAACCAGAAACACAAATATGCTTTGGGGTTAGAACACTGTGCCAAGTCTCAGCCCAGAATAGCTATTTACAGCAGCCATAAATCCCCTTAGACAGGAATTGGTAATGGGAAATGTGACCAATCCCTTTAGCTATAGAGAGTAGTGAGGAGGACTACCAGGTACTGCTATAATAATTGGAGACAATTTAAATGAATAAATAATGAGCTAAATGAATATTTAAATGTACTCCAAGATAAAAACCTGAAAAGTGATTTTCTAATTTGTTGAAGTAATGTGAAACACAGAGTAATACTTATGTTTGGGTACAAGTTGCTTTGATTGTTACCTGCTTGCTTTGTTTGATTATAGGTAACTACTCATTTGGTTTATTTTAGAACTTTCCATGCTTGTGGCATCAATTGGCACTATAGGCATGGTGTGACCAGTGGTGGGTTCCTCTCTGCCATTTCTTGTGGGAGGATTGATGTACAATCCTCCCAAGGACAAAACCTTTAATTTGTTGCTGAAGTTGCTGTTCTCTGGACCCTCTTCATCAGTCATAAGACCCTGGGAGATGGTGTTGACTTCTCCACTAGGGATAGTTCCCTGAGGCATATGTGGGTTTCTTGACCATGTGGTCAATTCTTTGTAAATAATTAAGAGGTAGGGAGATTATGTCTGGCCTGATGGCTAAGTGCTTGGTTTAGTGCAGGCCTGAGAGTGGCTCCCAGGGATGCATTGACTGGACATTTAGCTTGCTACAAGTGGGATGCTTCCAACAACCAAACCAAAAACCAAACTCACTGCTGTCCAACTCATAGCAACCCCTCCTTGGATTTCCAAGGCAGTGTCACTACAGAAGTAGATTGCCTCATCTTCCTTCCGAGGAGTGCCTGGTGGGTTTGAACCACCAGCCCTCTGGTTAGCAGTCAAATGGCTTAGGCACTACACTACCAGAGCTCCCTCCAACAACCTACTTATTCTCTGCAATGACAGATTTTGTGGAAAGATTAATCCCAGTATAGGTTAAGTCACCCCATCACTCATCTGGACATTAGCATTATACCTGTCAGAAACTAATGCCAGATTAGTAATATTTTTCACCTTTTCATGACTGAATTATTTTCTGCTTTGATTTTTTAAATTGATAATGATAATTGATAATGAAAACATACTGAAATCAAGGCAAAAAAAATTTTTTTTTGAATAATGTGGCTTTTGATACAATTAAGTGAGACACCTATGTCCCAGGTGGACTCTGATGGTAGGATTGATGGGGTAAGGCATGTTTTTTCAGATTCACACAGTTATATAGGTCCCTGACTGGTGGCACAACATACATTTGGGATAGGAGCTTCCCAAGAAACATGAGAGGCTGAAAATGTAGGTGGGTGATATATGTCCCACAGGTCATGAAATGGGTAAAAATAAGAATGCTGATAAACTCTCTTAGATAGGTAAGAGTCAGATGTGAAAAGATGATTTTTTGTTTGGAACTGTTCTCATGCTTCAACTTTCTGAGGGCAGTGAGCAAATTAGCAGTTAATGACCTATATCACAACTGGGAAAGTATCCCAAGGTAATGCTATTTATATAAAATGTTATAATAAATTTAGTAGTCTAGATCATATGTAAAAATCTATATAATGTGTTTGGAGTAAGGATTAATTATTAATAGAGAATAGTCAAAAAAACATGAGACATTAAATAATTTGAAAACTTTCTACACTTGGCTGATTATATCAGCTTAGCACATAAGAATGGAACTGATGCAAAATTATATGTATTTCTTTTCATAGACGTTATTTTTCTATGATGGAATTAGGAGTAGAGGGGATGTGGAAGATAACTGTGGACTGATGGTAAATTTTGGCACCTGAACATTTATCCTAGACGTTGTCTTTACTTTGAGCAGCATTTAGCATCCCTACAAATTAGTGTAATATCTGTGGCAATGGTCTTACGAAATGAAAAATGTGAAAGGAAATATTAATGTGGCTATAAATGGTAGTTAATTCCTGGGTGTTACAAATGGTTTAAGCACTGAACTGCTCACCAAAAGGTTGGAGGTTCAGGTCCGCCCAGAGGCACCTTGGAAGAAAGACCTGGTGATCTGCTTCTGAAAATCAGCCACTGAAAACCCTGTGGAGCACACTTCTCTGACATGCATGGAGTCATTATGAGTCAGAATGGACTCTATGGCAATTGGTCTTTAGAAAGATGCTGTGTTTTAAAGGTAGAAATCCATTGCCTTTGACTCAAATTCCGACTCATAGTGACCTATAGGACAGAGTAGAAATACCTCATAGGGTTTCCAAGGCTGTGAATCTTTACAGAAGCAGACTGCTGCATCTTTCTCCTGTGGAGTGGCTGGTGGTTTTGAACTGGCAACATTTTGGTTAGCAGCTCAGTGCTTACCACTGTGCTGCCAGGGCTTCTGCTTTAAGGATAGATTGGTAGAAATGGACCAGAGAATATAAATAATGTTGGAGTGTAGAAAGGACAAACCATGGAGTTAAGAAAAATGAGGCAGATTACTTAGACAGTAATAATTGTACTCTGCACATTTTATAATTTATGTTCACCCAGTCTCAGTAAAGGGATAGACTTAGCCTTAAGTTTTATAAATTTTAAAAGTTTCTAATATTTTAAGCTATTATTGAAATACTATGACTAAACTTAGACTTTTTATTTACAAGGAGAATTAAACCATGGTCTTTTTTAATTTTGATGGATTGATGTAAGCAGCAGATTTTTTTTTTTCTCTTGAGCCTCTCAATTCTGACATGTTGTCTTCATAGGTCAATGGTGTTCAGCTCTATGGAAAATCTCGACGAGAAGCAGTCTCCTTTCTTAAAGAAGTGCCACCTCCCTTTACCTTGGTTTGCTGTCGACGGTTGTTTGATGATGAGGCCTCTGTAGATGAACCAAGGACTACTCAGCCCTCTCTTCATGAGCTGGAGGTAGTAAATGAATATACTGCAGTTCCCATTCATCAGGGATGCCCTCACTATTGTATTGCACTATGAAGGGTGGGAGGAAAAGCTCCCCCTCCCTTTTTTAATTTGACTATAGTGCTCTCAAAGGCAACAATGCATAGCTCTTCAAATTGTTACTTTTCATTTAATGTCATAAAACTCTTTTGTTTCTTCAACTTGAAATGTCTGTGACATTAATGTGCATGCACTTTTATTTTAGAGGACCCTTTCTAGTAATTGCCTGTACTCATTACTTTTCACTCCCAGTTCAACTCAGTTCATCTTAATAAGTTTAAGATGTTGGTGAGTGTTGAATATCTAATGGACTCCCCTTTTTCGGAGGCTTAAAAATAAAAAGATCTATGACCAATTTTGAAGTGAGCCTAGAAATCGTTGTGAAAGCCTCCAGGAGGTCAGAGAATGAAGTAACACTATCTTTGCTCTTAATAATCCTTTTTACGAGCGTCGTAATTACGAAAACAATTTTGAGCAAAAAGCATTGCCATCTTCTGTCATTTGTAACCTCATCTTTTAGGCCACTCTTTCCCATTTCCAGACTCTTAGATTATAGTTTCATTAGCACCAGTTCAGATACAAGGAGCCTTCCCATTTACCCCTGTAAAGTTTGGATTTCAAGACACTTGGGCCCTAATCCTAGCACCAGACTATTTGTCACTGAGTTGCTTCCAACTCTTAGTGACCATGTGTGTTGCAGAGTATAACTGTGCTCCACAGTTCAATGGCTGTAACTTTTCAGAAGCAGTTCAGCAGGAATCCTAGCACTACCCCTTAATCATTATGTATCTTTGGACAAATAGCTTGATTTTCTGTTCTTCATATTCCTCATCTGAAAATGGTGATAGTTCTAGTAGTAAGCTACCTCCTGAGTTTGTGTGAGGAGGAAATGAAACAATAGTACAGATTTCTAAGCACAGTGCTTTGCACATGAAAAATACTCAGTAAAATTAAAACAAACAAATGAAAAAAAAAAACCCACTGCCATTGAATTGATTCTGACTCATAGTGACCCTATAGGACAGAGTAGAACTGTCTCAAAGAATTTACAAGACTGTAATTCTTTACAGAGCAGACTGCCACCTTTTTCTCCCATGAAGCAGCTGGTAGGTTCGAACTGCTGACCTTTTGGATAGCAGCTGAATGCCAACCAGAGCTTCTTCAAAAAAAGTTGCTATAGTTATTAACTCCTCTAGTCTACAAATCTTCCTATCTGATTTTGTAAAGAACTCAAGAATGTAGTATACTGTTTTATAATTTTTGATACTTAAGAGTCTATTAATCTTGTTTTTCCAAGAAGACTGTGGGAGCTCTGGTGGTGTAGTGCCTAAGGCATTTGACTGCTAACCAGAAAGCTGGCGTTCAAACCCACCAGCCACTCCTTGGAAGGAAAATTGGGCAATCTGCTTCCATAGTGATATCGCCTGGGAGACCCAAGCAGGGGTTGCTATGAGTTGGATCCGACTTGATGGCAATGAGTTTGTTTGTTTTTTATTGTTATTTTGTTTTAATCTTGTTTTTCCAGGAAGACTATCAGCTCCTTGTGGGCAGAGACCATATCTTGAAATTATTTTGTATATCATAGTGTTTATTTTGTACTGGGCATATAAAAGATGCTTAGTAACTTAAGGTGTATTAATTGAGAAGGTTTTTTTGTTGTTGGTAGTGTTAATGGTATCTCTTGTAAAAAATATATTAAGGAGCAGAGGTTACACTTTTGTGATTTTTTGCTATCTTTCTTAAAATGAAATGTGGGTGGTGGCTTTCCTCTGAAGGTTGATAAAAATGCCTTTAATCTAATCTTACAGGGTGTGTAAATCACCAGCCTGGCTTGCTGACTCTGTGCTCCCATCAGTCACTCTTTACCACAATGGGCGAACAACAGCTTTGAATTATGCTAAATGTCAACCTTGCTGTCCATTAGTTGATTGCTTTCTGTTCTGTAAATACAGAGGTTATGCAGAATTGATTGTATCAAAAATGATATATATCAGGTTGGAGTATAATATTGCATACACCTTGGATGCCTTGAAAGTTCTATAAACTTAGAATTTATAATTGTATCTAGTATCTTGAAATCCTACCTCTCTTTACCTTCTCTCATTTCTCACTTATCCTGATACTGCCTTAATGTCCTTAAGCCCTATCTGGTTAGGCGACTCAGCCAAAATTCTAATACTCATTAATCAGTGAGGGTATTAAATGCTCCAGTAAATCATCCATCATATTGTATAGTCACTGAAACTTTTTATTGGAGAGTATAAGTGTTTACTTTTCGAGTATACCACTTCTTCACATCAAGTTGAAATATACTGAGGTTACTGATCTAAAACTTTCCCATGCATTTCATGTTTTGTAATTTAAGAACCAAGAAATTATGGTTAGATTCAACCCATCATTGCTTGGGTGTTGACCTTCCATGTCCTGTAGCCTCAGTTTGAGATCTGGACCAACCTTAATTTTAAAAATGTTTCTGTGTTAACTAAGCAATCTCACTCTTCCAAATTACAAAATTTCCGCCTTTGATTCAATAGAATTATATTTTCTTATATAGGTCATTCAAAATTATATTTGTAGGAGCGATGCATTTTCATTTACTAGATTATCCAAAGTTTTAAGAAGTCTTCTTTTTAAATTATTTAGTTGATAATTAAAATGCACTTTCAAGAGAAACCTATTCAAAGATGGATGGTTCATTAATGTATTGAATACATATTTATCAAATGCCTACTGTGAGCCAGGTCTTGTATTGTGGGTTGAATGGATAACAATGGTTAACTCTATGGTAGCCCTTATGGAGTTTCTAGTGTAGTATAGGGGCTTTTTTAGTTGGTAGGGTTACCAAAAAAAAAAAAAAAGAAATAAGGAAAGAAAGAAAAAGAAAACTGTTAAGCTTTAAACAGAAGCTTAGAGGATTTGGGGGAAGGTAAATCAGATGAAAACAACATTAAGCCAAACTCATTGTCACTGAGTCAATTCTGACTCATAGCGACCCTGTAGGACAGGATAGAACTGCCCCATAGAGTTTCCAAGGCTGTAATCTTAACATAAACAGCCAGCTACATCTTTCTCTCCCAGAGCAGCTGGTAGGTTCAAACTGCTGACCTTTTGGTTAGCAGGTGAGTGCTTAAGCGCTATGCATCCAGGACTCATTAAACAATAATATAACACTAGAAATACTGTGGGAGCTCTGGTAGCATAGTGCCTAAGGCACTTGACTGCTAACCAGAAGGCTGGTGGTTCAAACCCACCAGCCACTCCTCGGAAGGAAGATTGGGCAATCTACTTCAGTAGTGATACTGCCTTGGAAAACCAAGGAGGGGTCACTATGCATTGGATTCGACTTGACAGCAGTGAGTTCAATTTTGTTCGATTTTATAACTACTGTAAAAGCAGAAGTTGAAGAGCCATTCTTCTGGATAGTCATCTTATTAGTCTCTTATTAGATTCCTAGAATTCCATATAGCATTGACTCCTTTTCCTGAAAGGAGGGGAAGCCTGGAAAAGGATGATTTGTGGGTGTGAAGTCAAGGAGAGTAACCAAACACCTGTGTGCTAGGCAGTTGTACTTGGCCTACCTCCTCCACAGTTGGACTGCCATTATTTCAACACATTTTCAGGCTTACATGAGGCATTTTGGACTTGATTTTTTTTTCCACTTACTTTTCTAGTAAGGTTTATCTTGAAAAATTCTAGGAGGTAACAGAAGTGGTTTCTCTGTGTCCTGCCTTGGCCTGTCTCTGTGTTGGCACCTTTCTTTCTGTCCCTCACGGTAATTGTGAATCCAGGTATTCCTGCTTAAATATTTTATAGACGTCTACCTTGTGTGATGTTCTCAATTTTACTTAAATTGTGTATTTTTTCCTTTTATGCTTCTAATGGGATGACAGAACTCATTGAAGTATAAGAGGTCAGTGTTAATACTTTGAATAAAATAGGTACTTTACATATATTTTTAAAATTATATGAACAGTCTGCATTTTTTAAGTGCTTGAATTTTCACAGAGACCTCATTCTTGAGTGTGTGTGCCCCAGTGTGTGCCCCTTTAAAAAGCCTGAAAAGAGAAACTGTGCATGCCAAAGAGAATTCCCAGTTTGAGAAGAAGCTGTGAAATTCCTGAGATTCTGAGTCTTTTCAGAATTGAAAGGACAGTGTTTTAAAGCATTTATCTTCTTTATATTTCAGGTAGAACACAATATAGTTGTCAATACTGAAGAAGATGATGATGAGGAATTGGCACTGTGGTCTCCCAAAGTCAAGATTGTCGAACTAGTGAAAGATCAAAAAGGCTTGGGATTCAGCATTTTGGATTACCAGGTATAAGGACCCTCATATAGTTATGTAAAGTGGTTATTATTTAAGACAAGCATTGACTTAAGCAAAATGGAATGATTTGATGTATAATGCTACTATCCAAAGAAGGGATGGTTTTTCTTTCTTACCTTTACAATTGATCGCTTCCTTAGTGAGTAAAATGATGGGTGATATAATAACTGGACAATAAAGGAAGCAATAGTTTTATACACATGGATACACATGGAGACTAGAAGTCCATGAATTTTTTTATATGGAGGTTTTTCTGTTTTTCTCCAGTTTTATTCAGATATATTTCACATACCATAAAATTCACCCATTTAAAGTATATATTTCAGTGGCTTTTAGTATATTGACAGAGTTGTGCAACTATCACCATCATCTAATTTTAGAACATTTCAACAGTCTAGAAAGAAATCCTGTCCAAATTCTCAGTCATTCCCAATCCTTGCTCTGTCTTCCCTCTCCCACCCCCTTATATATAACATTAATCTGACTGAGTTTAACCAAGTGAAAATATTCTTGGTGAAATTATAAAGAAATGAGGTAGTGGGGTAAAGTTACTGATATATTTGGAGGAAATGTGAAAAGTCACAAAAGGATATCTGTACTTTATATCAGTTTACCAGTTACTGCAGTATTTTTAGAACTCTGATTATCATGAGGGATTAAAACTGTTGGCAAGAAATCTCTTCACTTTTAAGATGCATATTTTAATACTTTAGTGCTGCCTAAACACATTGTGGTTTAATAAAGCAACATGTACTCTATCAAAGCACATAAAATGCCAAGTGATCTAAAAATCAATTCCTTTTTTTTTTTTAATATAATAATATATAAGGGAACAGATTAAAAGAAAAATACTTTGTGTATTATGTAAGAACATTAAATTCCTTATTTTGGCAGTGTGACTTAAGATTACTGAAATAGAGTATAGCTATTGCATTTTCTCTGGCATATTTCTGTGCCAGAGAGCCCTCTAGGTTATTAGAACTTGTCTTTTGGAGTATTATTGAATTATGAGTTGTTGATTAAAAATAATGTATATTTTGGGAAATGTATTTTAATCAGGATATAGCAATACTGTAGGATTCTAAGTTTATACTTGCTTAATATTAGGGCATATGAAACAAATTGTTGTTGTTCTTGTTGTTATTTGCCATCGAGTCGGCCCTGACTCATAGTGACCCCTCCTTGGGTTTCCGAGACAGTATCACTACGGAAGTAGATTGCCCAACCTTCCTTCTGAGGAGTGGCCGGTGGGTTTGAACTGCCAGCCTTCTGGTTAGCAGTCAAGTGCCTTAGCCACTATGCTACCAGAGCTCCTATGAAACAAATAGCAGGGGCTATATAATTTTTTCTTTACCCACTGTAACCATATTACCTACTATCTAGTTGTTGTTGTTGTTATGTGCCGTCGAGTCAGCCCTGACTCATAGTGACCCCTCCTTGGGTTTGTGAGGCAGTATCACTACGGAAGTAGATTGCCCAACCTCCTTCCGAGGAGTGGCTGGTGGGTTTGAACCGCCAGCCTTCTGGATAACAGTCAAGTGCCTTAGGCACTATGATACCAGAGCTAGTAGGTGGTTAATAAATATTTGCAGAATGATTGAATAAAGTATACCAAAACCAACCCAAACTCACTGCCATTGAGTCATGTCCAACTCATAACAATCTCTCCTTTGCTTTCTGAGGCAGTATCACTATGGAAGTAGATTGATCAACCTTCCTTCTGAACACTGGCTGGCCTTAGCCACTATGCTACTAGAGCTCCCAAAGTATAGGTTAGCCAAAGTTAACTATAACTGATTGAATAAACTCAGTGTGAGATTTTGTTAACCATTTTCATCATTGGAATTTAATTTAGAGAATACTTTTCAGATGTGGTCTTAGATGTTCAGCTAAATTTTCATTATCACAGCAATCTATACATCATATAGGAATCTCCATATATTTGCATTCTTATGTAATATTTATATTATTACCCTTTTCAGTGAGTTTATCTGCAAGTTTTATATTTTGGATATTGTAAATGGTAAGGCAGAAAGAAGTGTTTCAGAACATTAAAAAAGAACTTGAATAAAGGATGGAAAGAAAAACTTGATAGTCCTTA